TTATCACAGGTTGCCCCTAAAGCAGTGATGGGCAGCCTTTTGAGTTTGGTGTGTCAATACTCGCTGAAAAACCGAGCATAACTCGGGTGGGGTGTCACTTTGAGAAAAAAACCATAATTTCATGATATTTATTGTTTAATAACAAAAATATATTACTGAAATATATAACTGTATTTAATAAACCAAATACTAATTATTTAACTTACCTGCTTTTTCTATAATGCCATATATCTCGGCATTATAGAAAAATGCTGGTGTAGGAGCCGAGGATGAAATGTCCTTCTTGGGATGTGGCCCCCATCTTCTCTGTATGTGGTTGCATGCGCCTGTGTGTCATTGAAAATGGCTACGCGTGTCAGTGCTGACACACGTGTCATAGGTTCGCCAACATGGCCCTAAAGTGCTCTGCGATTTGGTTTCATTCCAGAGTTGTTCCAACCAAATAGAGCTTTAAAATTCAAATTTTTTGCTTCTTGCATCATCAATTGCTCACAAATATTTCCAGGAAATTTACTTGCATCATCTTTTTCAGAAAACTCCAATTATGCATATTGTTGTAGAGTTCCAGTTGAGATCCTCTCCATCTACCTTTGTTTCTGCATTAGATATTAATTCAAACTTGAGGCTGGTGATGAAAATCTAGAATAGTGTTTAAATATTTCTGCTGTCTGGAGAAACAGTAGGCATTGATTCAAGAAGCAGCTTGAAAAGAAATTGATGTCTCTGATGTAATGGGCTAGGATCCCATTGGGATTCCTGGAAATGGTAGTCTGGTGACAATGCAAATTATTATTTCAGGATTAGCACATGCATATTCCATGCATTGCATTGGAGATCAACTACAGGATGCTGATAAATTTCCACACATATCCAAAGCCTTGGTTATTTTTCCCAGAAGGTATGAACACTCAAAAATATTACTGCATCTAAAGGAATTTTAGGATGGGGTACATTTTGCCCTTGTCCTAAATCTATATCTCAAGGCTTAGATCTGTTCCTGTTCATATAATTCTATTAGAATAATTTATATAAATAAAAATGCAATGTCGTTTGTGGGATTAACATAACTCAAAAACCACTGGACGCATTGCTGCCAAATTTGGCCACAAAACACCTTTTTTTTTTACCATCACTCAAATTTTTTTTGTCATTTGGGAGTTCTCATTTAGACATAAAAGAGACAAAAACCTTTTAATTGGAATGCTCACTCTACCCCCCTCCCCTTTACAAACAACTATTTATTTACTTTATTTTTATTCCATCTTTCTCCCAATACAGGGACTCAAGGTATCTGGCAATAAATATCAAACAATGCTAATAAAAACCAATATGAATACATTAAAGTATAAATATAAAATTAAAAAGCAGTTAAGTAACAATATGTAATAAATTTTGAAAGAATATTCTGCTCTTGGTTTAAAAGTTTTTTTTGTTTGTTTAATTGAGCAGTAGTTAGTTTGAAAGTAGGTGTGGTGGAGGGCACTTAGTTTCAAATTTTTCTTAATGAAAAATATGCAATTTTTAACCTTCCAAGAACAAAGTTTTTGCAGTTTAATAAACCTTTTCCATGTTTTTTTTCTCTATTACCTAGAATCCAAAGCAGGGATGAACAAATTGCAGACCACAGGCCACATGTGCTCCCCACAAGCCATTTCAGTGATCTCCAGGGCCCCTTGGACTGGGTGACACTTCCTTGCAAAATGCCCCAAGGTCAGGGCAGTGGCAGTTGGGATGGATGGAAAGCCTTTCATCTTCTCAGCCCAGGTTCAATGGAGCTCTGCCCGCCTCTTCTTCTCTCCCTCTGACTTCAGAGCAGTGGCAGTTGGGATGGCCTTTCATCTACTTCTGAGTCTAGGCACAATAGAGCTCTGTCTGCCTGCCTCTTCCTCTCTCCCTCCTACTTTAAGGCAGTGGCAGTTGAGATGGAGGGAGGGCCTTTCATCTACTTCTGAGTCTAGGCACAATAGAGCTCTGTCTGCCTGCCTCTTCCTCTCTCCCTCCAACTTCAGGGCAGTGGCAGTTGGGATGAAGAGAAAGCCTTCAATGTACTTCTGAGTCTAGGCATAATAGAGCTCTGTCTGGCTGCTTCTTCTCTCCCTCCAACTTAAGGGCAGTGGCAGTTGTGGTGGAGGGAGAGCCTTTCATCTACTTCTGAGTCTAGGCACAATAGAGCTCTGCCTGCCTCTTCTTCTCTCCCTCTGACTTTAAGGCAGTGGCAGTTGGGATGGAGGGTGTGCCTTTCATCTACTTCTGAGTAAGCCTAATAGAGCTCTGCCTACCTCTTCTTCTCTCCCTCCAACTTCAGGGCAGTGGCAGTTGAGATGGAGGGAGGGTCTTTCATCTACTTCTGAGTCTAGGCACGGTTGAGTTCTTCTTGCCTCTTCTTCTCTTCCCCAGAGACCTAGGCGGTGGCAGTTGAGATGGAGGGGAGGCTTTAATTTACTTCTGAATTTAGGCATGCTGGAACTGTGTCATCATAGGGTCTTGCAGATCTGTCTGAAAAAGACACTATGACCATGGGAAAGTTGCTTTGTGGATCTCATTATGCCCATCAGATTATTAAAACAGCTTTCTTTGTTCTACTTGTGTGAGCTCTTCAATATTGTCAGTTCTTTTGAATGTGATCAAGGGCATATCTTGAGAGTCTAATACACAGTGGACTAGATGTAAACGTTTCCTTGGAAGTCTTGTGAAATATTGGTGATGTGATTAAAAGCATAGCTATTTTTGAGACAGACTGTGTTCCGTGTTCTTTTCCCAAAAGATCAGAACAGGTTGCATCTGGTCAAACTCGGAAACATTAGTTTAGATGGGCACACCATATCCATCAATTGTTCTGTTACTTTGGAAGCTTTAGGCCCCTTCCACACAGTTGTATAAAATCCACATTGAACTGAATTATGAGGCAGCGTGGATTCAGATAATCCAGTTCAAAGCAGATATTGTAGGTTATTGCCTTGATATTCCGGGTTATATAGCTGTGTAGAACAGAACAGAACAGAACAATAGAGTTGGAAGACGCCACATGGGCCATCTAGTCAACCCTTGATATTCTGGGTTATATGGCTGTGTGGAATAGAATAGGATATGATAGAAGAGTTGGAAGAGACCACATCTAGTCCAACCCCCTGCCATGTAGGAAAAGCACAATCAAAGTGGAAGAGCCGTCGCTTCTCAAGTCTTGAACCTGCCGCTCTTGTGTACTGTGCAATCATAGCAGTATAATTCCATATTAATGGTCATGGCAAAAATCCCATGTGATTCTTGGGTTTGTAGTTCAGTAAGGCACTAGAGTTTTCTGATTGAAGTTCTGAATGTATAAATGTTTCCAAGTCATATGCAGAGGTGGCCCTAGGTAATTTTTAATGGTAAGCAAACAGTATCCCCCCCCAACCAATCACTGATATATATATTCTGTTCGTTGTGGGTGTTCTGTGTGCCATATTTGGTTCAATTCCATCATTGGTGGAGTTCAGAAGTACTTTATGATCAATTAATTTAGCTCCAGATTCCCATGCGGGGACATGAGAGAAGCCTCCCACAAGGATGGTAAAACATCAGAACATCCTGGCATCCCCTGGGCAACGTCCTTGCAGAAGGCCAATTCTCTCACACCTGGAAATCTGACCTGGAAAAAAAAAACTTAGGAAAGGAGAAAAAGACAGAATCTTGCCCTTTGCAGTAGGTTCAGGCAATAGCAAATTCCTGCAACATCTCTGGAATCGTCTGTCCATCTTCATTAATAACTTTTGCCATCGTAACCACACTCTGATGTTACTTGACTATGTCTGTCCTAGTTTTAATCTATGAAATGTTGGAGGGCATTCCAATGTACAATCATCTTTATGGGGAAAACTAGCTTAAAGGGATCTCACATCCATTGTGACTCAACTGCCTCCTCCCTTCAATGATGTTATCTTATTAATGAAATCGGAAGAATTCTGTATGTAAAATGGAATTAGGAAATATAAACGGTATTCAAAAGTGGTCCACACATTTGAGAGAATGGTTCTAGGACTAAACTACAGCTTGATGTGATGAGATAGAGTGGAGCCAAGTTAATCTTTTGTAGATTGTTGGTAAAATGTAACATATGCTGGGACTGATGTAACCTAGGATGCATCAGTACTGCTGAATGAATGCAGTTTGACATCACTTTAAAAGCGATGGCACAAAGCTATGGAATCCTGGGAATTGTAGTTTGGTAAGGCACTCGCACCCTCTGCCAGAGAGGGTTAAAGACATTGTAAAACTACAAATTCCAGGATTTCATAGCGTTGAGCCATGGCAGTTAAAGTGGTGCCAAACAGTATTCATTCTACAGTGTAGATGCACCATTGGACTTACACCTTCATCCAAGTTTATTAATCTTTTTAAAAATAATAACCACTGAAGGATTATTTTACTGTGAACACATTATATATCCCTCTCTTTACCTCACCACACTAGAGAATGAATCCACTTTAAATCCGGTTTCTGCCTCCTGCAGAATTCTGGGGTTTGTAGTTTAGTGAAGCTGTTAAAGCCTCCTCCCTAAACTACAAACCCCAGAATTCTGCAGGAAGCAGCAACTGGTTTTAAAGTGGATCCATTCACTTGTGTGATGAAGTAGGAACAATACAGAAGTTGAGATATAATTCTTATTGAGGTTCTCATTATCTTTGATTATGTTATTCCAGAAAAAAGGGGCTAGGTTTTCTATTTATTCCAATCCTCAAACTACTGGTATTTTAAAATGAACCTCTGGAATGAGGACATGGACTGAGAAGGTATTTGGAAGCCTACTTTAAAGTATGACACAATTTCTACATAGACCTGCCAAAAAATTGTATTTCTAAAGCAACAGAATAAGGCTGACTTAAATGGGATTGTAATGAGGGATAGGAACAAAGGAGAACCCCTTGTCTCAAACTTGTCTCTTGAATGCTTTAAGTGCTCTGCTAGACAGATTGATGATTATTATTTATTCTTTCTTTCCAAATTCTCTTTCTTTTGAAAAGAGTTTGAGAAGTCTACCATCATCGAAAACGGGGAAATCCGCATCAATGGGAAAGGGAAGAAGATCCGGAAACCACGCACCATCTACTCTAGTCTCCAGCTTCAGGCCCTCAACCAACGCTTCCAGCAAACCCAGTACCTGGCCTTACCTGAGCGGGCGGAGTTAGCAGCACAGTTGGGCTTGACCCAAACCCAGGTGAGATCAAGAGATACATTGGCACTTCCTTCTGCTTATTCAGTGTCTACTTTTCTAACACATCCTTCTCAAAGTTTGGAAATAGGTAGTTACAAGCCATATAGTTGCCTGAAACAATAGATATAATGAGGAGAGGTGGGATACACACACACACACACACACACACACACATAATTCCCCAGTAGTTACCGTATATTCCGGCATATAAGACGACTGGGCGTATTAGACGACCCCCAACTTTTCCAGTTAAAATATAGAGTTAAGACAACTCCCATGCATAAGACTACACCCACGTATAAGACGACCCCTGACTTTTGAGAAGATTTTCTTGGGTTAAAAAGTAGTCTTATACGCCAGAATATACTGTACTTTTTTAAAACTTCTTATAGGACATCAAGGAAGTAGTTTAACTACACACTAGTTAGGTGCCAGGTACTGGGCACCACAATTCAAGAGAGATATTGACAAGCTGGAATGTGTCCAGAGGAGGGCGACTAAAATGATCAAGGGTCTGGAGAACAAGCCCTATGAGGAGCGGCTTAGGGAACTGGGCATGTTTAGCCTGAAGAAGAGAAGGCTGAGAGGAGATGATAGCCATGTATAAATATGTGAGAGGAAACCACAGGGAGGAGGGAGCAAGCTTGTTTTCTGCTTCCTTGGAGACTAGGACGCGAACAATGGCTTCAAACTACAAGAGAGGAGATTCCATCTGAACATTAGGAAGAACTTCCTGACTGTGAGAGCCGTTCAGCAGTGGAACTCTCTGCCCCGGAGTGTGGTGGAGGCTCCTTCTCTGGAAGCTTTTAAGCAGAGGCTGGATGGCCATTTGTCAGGGGTGATTTGAATGCAATATTCCTGCTTCTTGGCAGGGGGTTGGACTGGATGGCCCATGAGGTCTCTTCCAACTCTTTGATTCTATGATTCTATGATAGTAATAACTAAAATATTACCAATTACTTTTAAAAAGTAACTTTCTAGGTTGTACTCTAACAACAACAACCATAACAACAACAACTCTGGAATAAGTCAGTAAAGGTGATCCCAGTAGTGATCGGCACACTGGTTACACAGTACCTAAAGACCTTGGCCTTCACTTAAACACAATCGGCGCTGACACAATTACCATCTGTCAGCTGCAAAAGACCAGCCTACTTGGATGTGCATGGATTATTCACCAATACATAACACAGTCCTAGACACTTGGGAAGTGTCTGACATGTGATCCAATACAACAGCCAGCATTGTGATTTTGTTTGCTGTGTATTAATGTTGTTGTGTTAATAATAATAATAATAATAATAATAATAATAATAATAATAGAAGAAAAAACTGGCCATGGATATTTTCTGGAAAAAAAATTTGAGAGCAAAATTGACAAGGAAAAACATGGATGTGGCTAACAAATGGAACTTTGTAAAGGAGACTGAGGACCTGATTCTTGCAGCCCAAGAACAAGCAATTAGAACAAATGACATCAAAGCAAGAAGTGAAAAGTTGACTTCAGATCCCAAGTGTAGACTCTGTAAGGAAGCAGACAAAATGATGGATCACATATTTAGCTGCTGCAAGAAGATTGCGCAGATGGACCACAAGCAGAGGCATAATACTGTTGCTCAGATGATCCATTGGAACTTGTGCTGCCCTGGAGACTAGGATGTGGAACAATGGCTTCAAACTACAGGAGAGGAGATTCCACCTGAACATTAGGAAAAACTTCCTGACTGTGAGAGCTGTTCAGCAGTGGAACTCTCTGCCCTGGAGTATGAGGAGGCTCCTTCTTTAGAGGCTTTTAAGCAGAGACTGGATGGCCATCTGTCAAGGGTGCTTTGAATACAATTTTCCTGCTTCTTGACAGTGGGTTGGACTGGATGGCCCACGAGGTCTCTTCCAACTCTATGATTCTATGAAATATCATCTGTCTGTGACAAAAAACTGATGGGATCACAAGCCCAAAAAAGTTACCAAAAAAACTACTCTGAGACTTCCGAATTTAGACTGATAGGGTTTTGGAGCACAATACTCCTGACCTCACGATCATGGAAAAAAACAAAGTATGGATAATCGATGTTGCAATCCCAGGAGACAGCAGAATTGATGGGAAGCAACTGGAAATGCTGACATGATATGAGGATTTAAAGATCAAACTGCAAAGACTCTGGCACAAACCAGTAAAGATGGTCCCAGTGGTGATTGGCACACTGGGTGCAGTGCCTAAAGACCTTGGCCTGCACTTAAAAACAACTGCCGCTGACAAAATTACCATCTGTCAGCTGCAAAAGGCCACCCTACTCAGATCTGCACACATTATTCACTGGTACATCATATAGTCCTAGACACTTGGGAAGTGTCCAACATGTAATCCAATACAATAGACAGCATAGTGATCTTGTTTGCTCTTGCTAATCTTGTTGTGCATCAAATAATAATAATAATAATAATAATAATAATAATAATAATAATAATAAATTAGACTGAAATACTACACCAGCTAGGACACGTCAGTTAAACGAGCCTATAAAATCACACGTATTATTACAGTAGACTCTAAGTTAACCAGAACTTAAGCAATTAGAATTCTCAAACAACTGGCCAAAAAAATCAAAGAAATAATAATTTAAATTAAAATATATGTATAATAAAATTGTGTTACAAAAAGTTAAGTTTGTCTTATTTGCTTTTAATTACTGTATTTCAGTATCACATCACGTCAAAGTTTAGGGAATGGTATAGTATGGAATGTTGTATTACTTAGGCCTATTTTTAATATCAACTCACAAAAAAATCGGAAACTACATTTATTCGGCATCTAGCAATCCACATGAGTGCCATTTAAGAGAGAGATTACTGAATTATTATTATTACTATCTGTCCCCTGCCACACGTTGCTGTGGCCCACGTGGGGGTTCTGTGTGGGAGGTTTGGCCCAGTTCTATCGTTGGTGGGGTTCAGAATTCTCTGTGATTGTAGGTGAACTATAAATCCCAGCAACTACAACTCCGAAATGTCAAGATTATATTTCCCCCAAACTCCACCAGTGTTCATATTTGGGCATATTGCGAATTCTTGTAGAGTGGTCCAAAGCCATCATTGTTTGAGTCCACAGTGATCTCTGGATGTAGGTGAACTAAAACTCCAAAACCAAAGGACACTGTCCACCAAACCCTTCCAGTATTTTCTGTTGGCCATGGGAGAACTACGTGCCAAATTTGGTTCAGTTCCATCGTTGGTGGGGTTCAGAATGCTCTTTGATTGTAGGTGAACTATAAATCCCAGCAACTACAACTCCCAAATGACAAAATCATTTTTTTGAGTGAAGGACATACATTGGGTTGTTAGGTGTCTTGTGTCCAAATTTGGCGGCAATTCGTCCAGTGGTTTTTGAGTTCTGTTAATCCCACAAACGAACATTACATTTTTATTTATATAGATTATTATTATTATTATTATTATTATTATTATTATTATTATTATTATTATTATTTTATTGTATCTCACTTTTCCGAGACCCAAAGTGGATCGCAACCTTAAAAAAAAAACCTAAACAATTGTAAATCCTACAAAATATACATGAATTCAATGTTCCGATTATTTATTTAAATCCTGTTAAAATCTCACTAAAACAAACAAATTCAAACTGTTAAAAAAACAATTCAATACATATTAGGAAGAATCGACCCATACTATAAAACTCAGGATCTAAGTTAAGTTTGCTTGAAGACCCTGTTGCTTTGCATGTTAAACCCAATTTAGTTTCCCTTCACACTAACCTTGTAAGGTAGGCCAGGTGGAGTGCTACATATAGTACATAACCTGCTTGAGGCCATTCAGGGAGCTGCATGTGGCATTACTCACATGTGTCCATTCTGGCTCCACTGCCTCAGTATGCAATCTTCAGTGGGAGGGTAGCATGGATTGCATGTGTATGTAGGAGTGATCTTATCTTTTTTCCCCCCCATTCTGCCAGTTTCCTACCTCCAACTGGCTTTTTCACCTTCTGATGATATGAGGCAGGTGAGAAATATAATATATTTCTCCAAAATGTCAAGATTTCCCCTTGACATTAAGTCTAGTCATGTCCAACTCTGGGGAGTGGTACTGATCTCCATGTCTAAGCTCAAGAGCCGGCATTGTCCATAGACACGTCCAAAGTCATGTGGCTGCCATGACTACATGGAGCGCCATTACTTTCCTGCCGAAGCAGCACCTATTGATTTAATCACATTTGCATGTTTTTGAACTGCTAGGTTGGCAGAAGCTGGGGCTAACAATGGGAGCTCACCCCATTCGGATTCAAACCACCAATCTTCCAATCAGCAAGTTCAGCAACTTAGTGGTTTGACCTGCTGTGCCAATGTGTTCATTTCTCTTATGGGCCCCTAAACAACTAGGAGTGGGTGTTCTTAGAAAGCTGGAGACACCCTTCCCAGAAACCATCCTTCTCAATGGAGCAGTCTTCCCTGAACCCAATGCCTGCTTAATACATTAAATAACAATTACCACCATCCCCAACCAACATGGTCATAATGGGTGGAGTGGATTGAAGTTATAGTCCACCTGGAAGATGGCAATATTGGAAGAAGCTGTATCGAAATTTGCACCCAGGCTTGTTGCTTAATATTATAAAGAAGAAGAAAAGCTGGCCTGGATGGGGAGACAATAGACTTGACAAATGCCCTGTGTAGTTGTGCCTGAGATCTGTACATGTGTCCCTATGGCCTGAGAAACCAAGGTGGCTTACCACATTTGAATAAGAACAGACACTGAAAGGATAAATACATTAAAAAAAAACAATGAGCCCACACAATAAGTTGGTTGAAACAATTAATGAAAAAAGTGTTAAAGTACAATACTCTTTGTGTTTCGTTTGAAGAAAATTTCAGGAAGCGGGACCACCAAGGTTGATGGCCACCAAGACTGGATCTTCACTGCCAAGGAAAGCAGTTCGAACTGTATTACTGTATATCAGTGTTCTCAACCTGGGGGTCGGGATCCCTGGGGGG